CTTCCTTCCTTCCTTCCTTCCTTCCTTCCTTCCTTCCTTCCTTCCTTTGTATGTTCTGTAGATTTTTATATGACAATGAGTAAATGTTAGCTTGAACAGAAAGTGCTTGGCAAAGTTCATATTAAATAAATTTTATTTCTATTTACACTTTTTAGTCACTATGTTTTATTTCTGATGTAAACTTGAGTTCACACTTTGTTTCAAGACATATGTATGAAAAGGAGAGTACAGCAATCATTTGATAAAGCACCCCGTCAATCTTTTTTGGTTAATAGTTATATATTGGGAAAATATCATAGGTACCTTCAATGCAAAATGACTCTTAGGGAGAAATAATCAATTATATAGCACGAATTCACTGAAAGTTACTTGCCACACTAAGTCAGACATTTCATAGGGCGTTCCTATTTGCGCTACTCTTGACCTTTTTCAGAGTGCACCGTCCTCCACTTACAATGGTTCATTTAGTGACCAATCAGACCAATGGCACTGAAACAAATGGCTCATGACTGTTTCTCACACTTATGACTAATGCAGCATCCCCATGATCATGTGATCAAAATTCATGGAGTCATATGATCATCTTTTGCAACTTTCTGACAAGCAAAGTCAATGGGGAAGCCAGATTCACTTAACTATGTTACTAATTTAATAGGTGTGGTGATTCACTTAACAACTGTGGCAAGAAAGGCCGTAAAATGGTGCAAAAATCATTTAACTGTCTTGCTTAGCAACAGAAATTTTGGGCTTGATTGTGGTCATATGTCAAGGGACATGTACAAGAAAAGCATTGGACTATAGAAATCCAGGATTTACTTCCTAATTATTTTTATTGGATCCATCTGATGATTTGAAACATTCTTCAAAAATTGAAGAGGATGCTAGTGTTTTACTTTTCAGTATTTCAACTTTTTAAATTTTAACATTTGTATTATTTAAAAGTTGTTTTTCAGGTGTGCACCTCAGATTTGCAAAACATCATTTGATTGCTAACATTAGGAGAAATTCCGTGCAGTGTTTCTAAAGCTTAAGTGGAATGCTTTAATAGATCTAATGTCAAGGAAGCTTTTTTTAAATAGTTTTATACATTGAATTTTTTAAAAAAATATACATTGCCTAGCTTTCTTCATAATTAGTGTTGTTTATGATTTGAATGGCTTTGGTTAAACTGAGGATTATTGAGACCAAGCCAATTTGTCTTGAGGCTTCATTATAGATACTAAAAATAGGTTGTTCGCCATTCAATTTTGTATCAGAATTCCACAATTAATTTACTTTGATTGCAACATTAAATCATATGAATAAAAGTATGACCTTTTGTTCTTTCTTTTTGATGTAAATATGTATCTTTAGGCAAGATATGTTATTTGAATGAACAAATAAATTTTTATTTGAAATATATGTGAAAATAACCAAATTCAGTCTGATAAAAAAAAAATCTCAGTAATTAAGTGACTTACCTTCTTCTGTTGTCAGGTTTGAATATAGCAAAAGTTTTGTACCTTAGACACAGAATTCAGCAATTTTAAGTTATTTTAAGGTGCTTATATTTCAAAAACAATCTAAATACTATTGTCCAAATGGCCAGACAAGCTATCTATCAAAGATTAGTTGAGAGCACAATTCATTGTAAAAATATACTTATCAGAAAGAAAGCAAACTCCACTATAATTGTCCAAATATTATATAAGCAAGATTGCTTTTTTAATTTATGTAAATGGCAAAACACAATTTCACTGCTTATTCACTGTATGTTTCTAAGGCTAAACTGGAACTTCTTGATCTAATATCAAGTATGTGGGCCAAATTAATCCAATAATGTTAGACCAGCATGAAAAAGAAAAACTGTTTCATAATATCAGGTTACCACAAAAGAGGATTATCTTGCTTAACTTTACCAGGAGTTTGTATAAATTGGGCAGATTCTGTAAGAAGAGATTATCTTAAAAGTAGCAATAAGCCAAGTCATGTTGGGCTTTATAGGTTAATACCACATTTCTGAATAGCAATTAAGTCATATGTTTGATACTTTAGTTGTTTTTGTGCGAGGTTTTGTTTTGATCAAAATAGAAATCACATGTCAAATCTTAATGACACCACAGTGCCAAAAGAAAGAAAAGAATAAAACAGGTAAAAATTAAAAGAGATAAAGCGTTAAAAAGAAAAAACAATTTGTACAATTTTTTTAGAACCAAAGAGATTTACAATAGAAGTCGACTTAATTTATGTCCTGCTTTTATTTTTTAATAAATAACTGAAGGTGATCAACATACCTAATACTCCTTTCTCCTGGTATTTTCCTCGCAACCATCCTGTTAGATTAGTTGGCTTGAGAGAAAGTGACTGGCCCAAGTCACCCAGCTGGCTTTCATGCCTAAGACAGGACCAGAACTCTTAGGTTCCTGATTTCTAGCCTGGTACCATAACCTATGTATGTTTCAAGAACGTTCATATTCTTTGTAAATAATTATTGTCTTTACTGTATAGTACATTCTTGTCCTTAAATTTTGAGTTCAGTGACTGATACAAGAATATTTCTTATAAATTACATGTTTGCTTCTATCTATTTAAAGTTTTATTTTAGACTTCTATTGACTCATTTTGAATGCTTACAAGAAGAATTATCCTTATATTTATAGAATTAAATGAAATTTGCAAGCATTGCAACCCCATTAATGGGATCATTTAGAAATTTTCAGAGAAACAGATTTGGAGGCATTTGGTTCAAAATGATATTTATAGGTTTGAAGGTTCTAGAAAGGATGTCTTGTCCCTGTTACATTTTTTTCTGACAAATGATTTGGCCGCTGTTTTAAAAAGAATCATTTTTTAAAAAAAACTAAATGAAGCAGATATATGTATGAAAATTCTTCTCATTGGAAACCTGACCAAAAAGAGTAATTAATTTCCTGCTTCTACCTTGCATTTTCCCCTCAATTTATGCAAACATAATATAATTCTAAAGCAGTGTTGGCGAACCTTTTTGGCACCAAGCGTCGGACACCTGGTCTTCTAGTTTCTGGTGCGCATGTGTGCATAAAGACCAGCTGGCCGGCGTGTGCATGTGCGCTGGGGAGCTGCTCTTCCGGTTTCCAGTGCTTCCACGCGTGCGAAGACCAGCTGGCCGGCGCGCATGCACACCCTGGAACCCGGAAGTGGGATGGGTGACGGCAGGCATGCCTGGAGAGATTGCTCTGTTTGCCACTTCCGGCACGCATGCCATAGATCATAGTTCTAGAATAATCCCCAGGGAGGTTCAAAAAAATTTAGAGTTTCTTTATTTTCTGCTCAAGATCATTAAAAATATGTGAAACTTGCATATTGCCCGTTAGCAAAAGGCAGACTTGACCAGAATTTACAAGCACTCAAATGTACACTTTACTACAAAATCCTTTTACATTCCTGAATGTGTCTGAATGGTAGAAAAGAAATAGGTGAATAAAAACTACTGGAGTTGTGTGACTTGAGAGCTTTCTTGACTATTATTAGATT